GCAAAATATGTCAGGGGAAGAGATGGAGGGAAGTGTGGAAAGCTACCGTGGGCCCTGGGAAAGGAACGCAGGTCACAGTCGTCGGCTGCCTCCTCCACCTCCTGCCCCCACCCAGCTTCAAAGCCTCTCTGCCTGTCGGTGGGAAAAGAATTACCCCCCTTCATCCACACACCTGCAGCTGCAGTGGGCCCTGGGCCCAGGAGAGACACAATCTGTCCCACAGAGAGAGAGTCCGGCCAGTGTGGCCACCTCCAGCTTCTGTCTCTGGCCCCGTGGCAAAGCAGGGTGCCCTGGGCTGCAGCTAGGAGTGGTCTCTGGGCACCAGCAGCCCTGCCTCCCCCTCACCACCCAGAAAGCACCAGGTACTTCAGCAGAAGCAAGCTCTGTGCCTTCCTGTACCCATGCCATGATTGCAGGGAGTTCAGAATGCAAAAGTGCACATGCAAAAGTGTTTGTTTTGTTGTCATTCTAGCATAAGAGTGATGGAGAGACCACTGCAAAGCATAAAATAGTGCTGGATTGGGGATAGAGAGTAAAGTTGCTGGATCAGGGAGAGAGAGTAATATGCTTTGCAACTGATGCCAAAGCACAGACACATGGCAGTCTGAAGAGGACCCCCATAACACCATGAAACCCAGCATCTACAGTCAGCTGGCTGCACTTCTGATGTCCATTGCCAAGTTCAGACTCAGTGCTCTACCAAAAGGATGCTAGCAACAGTGCTTTTTGGTTCCAGCCACTGTGGAAACTTATTTGGAACGTTTCAGCCCTAAAATCAATTGCAAAACTACAGTTCAGCTCTGGGGCACACAGATCTGCCTATCTATTTATATATATCTCAGAGCACCTTGACAACTTCGAATATATGCCTTTGAATTATTGCACCCAAGTCAAATGCATAGCATAATGGAGCTGGAGAGGGAAGCTTCCAGGGAAACTTGAACACCTCCCCCCCGCCCCCCAGTGCCTGTATACCAGTCTATTGCCAGCATCTCTTCCAACCATTTTCAGCATGCTGCTTTATGCTGCAGGCTAAGGCTGCAGTCCTGAATGCACCTCACACTCAGCTTGGTGGGACTGACTTACACGTAGAATTTAGTAGGATTGTGTCGTGTAAGCCAGCAAGTCTCACTCGGAAATTGCAAAGGCCTATTTGGCTGTAAAGCGACCTTCTCTTATCTAATGTCCTCCCAACATTCCTGATTATTGACCATGCTGGCTGATGGGAATCGAAGTCCAGAATATCCTGACAGCTTCAGGTCAGGAAAAAGCTGATGCAGAGCATTCTGATGAGGCAACATTAGTGGGGGAAATGAACCAACTTTGCAAGGACTTAATCCCATGGGAAAAGAAAGATCAGCCCCCCGGAGTGCAAGAGGGTGCCACCGACTTCTTTCTCCATTACTTGCTTAGTTGAAGTCTCCCACTAGGGGGCAGATTTGTTCGTTTCCTGAATTCTGTATATTAGCTTCTCCTTGCAGAAGGTTGTCCAGTTCTCTAGTACATTAAAGGCCAGGTGCAAAGACCTGGAAACTAGGCTGGTCTTGAGAAGAGGCGAATTTGCCTTTGCAAAGTCTGGCCCATCAGCTCCTGCCAAAATGCCTATTTGAGAGGGGAGGACATCAAGGCTGCGATGCCTGTGCTGGAAGGCATGGCTTTGTTCAAATATAATTACACTGTTAATTCCTCCACTTTCAGCAGAGCAGAGGACTGAGGAAGGGGCCGGAGAGAATAATCCAGCAAAAATAATAAAAACAGGCTGAAAATAGGAGAAGGAGCCTTGAACTGGCATAAGGAGATCTGCTGAATGGATTTAGCAGGACTTCTTCACCTTTACATTTTAACCTGCTCCTTGCTTTATTTTCCATACACGTTTAATGCTACAATTTTAAATCAACATCTCCATTTTTACCTGATCATTTATTCAGTTTTAATGTTGTATTTTCATTGGTCCATTTAAAACAATAATTGTTGGCATATTTTGTTATTCATTTTATCATTGTTTTAGTGTTTTTGCTTTCTTTATGTTTGTCACCTTGTGAGCTGCAGCTACAAAGTGAGCCATAAACTGAATGATGATGATGCAATAATGATCAAAACGCAATTATTTAACTTTTCCTTCATGATCCTATTTGATACCATCATCAATCCTAAATGATGATCCTGCCACACTGAGTTATATGGCAATTCTCTCCATTCATGGATCACATAAAGAGCAGGATGACATCACAACATTGAATTAATTTGCCACCCTCCCCTGCCATAAACTTCTCAGGTGGCCTTGAGTGAGAAATTTTCCTTTGGCATTTTCTCCATGCAATACTGGTTTGTCACAACTGATGTACCTTATAGGCTTGTTGGAAAGATTACACTGAGATCATATATATGAAGCATTTTGACACCTCTCTAAAAGTACTATATGATTGTTACACCTAATGTGGTGATATTTCTGGACATGAGTAAATCAAATTGAATTGGCCTAGTAGATTTTGCTATGAAATGGCATTGCAGTGAGAAAATGAGGACATTTTAAGCACACAAGGAAACACCTCTGAGAATGATGTAAGCCACTTTGAGTTCTTTAAAAGAAAAAAGGTGGGATATAAATCTAATAAATAAAGAGGCTCCTTTCAGTACCGCAGAACATGACTGCAAGAAAGGCTGATAACCTTGGCTCAGCTCTGCCCTTAAGCTGTGACTTCCCTCAGAATACATAAGCATCCAATTGGGTTGGACATGCATTTTCTTAAGCAATTCCTAGAAAACATTTTTAGTACATATTGTGTCACTGGTGGGGCCTATTAATGCAGGACAGAAAGTAAAATGAGCTTTCTAGTGACTAGAGGTGTTACATTTGAATTGCAGATCTATGAATATTGCCCTGGCATTTTTTTTTAAATCATAAGCACAATTTGTGAAAACAGTCCAAGTTAGTACTGGATGCAGCCAAAACCTGGATCCACTGAAAGATCAGACAGGGTGAGTCATAAGCTGGTCCTGCCTTCTGGTGAGTCCCTCTTATCTCTTAAGAGAGCCTCAGTAGGTTGCCGAAAGGGCAGCCCAAACACTCAAGGGCTAGAAGAATTCCTGTATGAGGAAAGTGTGCAGTGATAGAGCTTGTTTAGCTTAGAAAAAAGGTAAGGGGGGAAATGGCAAAGGTGTATCACGTGATGCATAGAGAAAATAGATCCCAAAATCCAGTGTCATCCAGTGAAGCCGAATGGTAGAAAATCCAGGACAGCTGAAAGGAAGCGCTGCTTCACACTATGGAATTCACTATTGCCAGACATAGTGATGGACACCAACTTGGTTGGCTTTAAAGGGAGATTAGACAGATTCGTGGAGGAAAAGCTCTTTTCTGTACAAGATCGTTAATCAGCTGTATCTGCTCTCTGATTCACTGCTGAACCAGGAACCAAATACTACGAGGATTGTTTCTTCCCCTGCTTTTCCAGTATATAACTTCTAGGGGGCACTGTGGTAAAAAGAATAGCACAAATCTATAAGTGAAAAGGGTGTTTTCTCTAGTATTTCAATGAAATCCCACTTTTTTCTTTTTCTTATTGCTTTAACTCCCACCCCCCAAAAATGCCCTTTAGATCCAGAACCAACACTGGAGGGTCACAATGTCATCAAAAGAACGTGTAAATAACTGTGAATAGAGAATCATGACCATACCATACACGCCTCATGTACAAAGGCCCTAAAGCTACCAGTGGCTATTTTATTCTGTTTCTATACCACCCAAAGATATCTGAGTAGTTTGTGAAAGACAACTTAAAACCATGAATTACAGTTCTTATTGTATCTTAAAATAATTTTAAGTTTTGTTTTATGAAAACTTTTTTTTTGTTTAGTCTCTAAGTTGTGTCCAACCCTTCATGACCCCATGGACAACATTCCTTCAGGCTGTCCTGTCCTCCACCATCCCCTGGAGTCCACCCAAGCCCACACTGACCACCCCAGTGACCCCATCCAGCCACCTCAACCTCTGCCACCCCCTTCTCCTTTTGCCTTCAATCATTCCCAGCATCAGGGTCTTCTCCAGGGAGTCCTTCCTTCTCATTAGGTGGCCAAAGTATTTGAGTTTCATCTTCAGTATCTGGCTTTCTAAAGAACAATCAGAGTTGATTTCCTTTAAGATTGTCTGATTTGATTTCTTTGCAGTCCAAGGGACTCTCAGGAGTCATCCAAATAAAACCAAAGTTTAAAAAAAGCCAAGCTGAAAGCCAGCAGAAGTGCAAAGATCTGAAAAATGCATGAAAACCATTTTACTCAAGAGGGCCATGCAGACCCTCCAGCACCAGAGACCGTGGGATGCCAGCTGCTGGGCAATTCAAGAAGGCAAGTGATACTGCCCTCCTGCTCTGCTTCCAGCTGTCCTCTGACTGGCCACCGTAAACTCAGCATAGTGAGCTGCCCAGGCCTTTGCTCCAGCCCAGGAAGGCCCTCCTTATGTTCTTACCAGCTCAGAACTCCACCTGCTCCCAAGCATCGCTGTGTTCTTCACATGGACTGCCCGAATCCTTCCGACAGGTATGCCAGAGGACAAGAGACACCCTCGCAAAGCTAGCTCTTGCTCAGAGGTTGGCAGCTCACTGGCTGCTGGGTGATTCTGATGCTTTGTGATGTCACTGCTGCAACATGTCCACCCGAGAGAAAAATTTCCTTGCTGGGCAGAAGACCATGGAAAGCTAAGAGAGGCAACATCCCAAGTCTGGCAGGGTCCTCAGAGCTGCTCGGCTGAAAAGAAAATCCCTCTACGGCTGGAGGCATTGCAGTGGCGGGGAAAGGAGTCTGTTGTTAAAGCTTTCGTAACTCATTGCTGGTTGGTGGGGCACCCTAATGCTTTGTGAAGTCACCACTGCCATGTGTCCACCTAAGTGAGAATCCTGTTTGCAGGTGAGGAAGAGCATGAATGACTAAGAGGAGACAACATCCCAAGATTGGCCGGGCCATCCAAGCTGCTCTCGGTACATTTCCCCTTCTGACCAGCAGAGATGGCTCATGAAATCGACTGGCTGAACAGCCAGGCTGGCATGTGCAAAATAAATTTCTACAGCTCCGCTGGACAGAAAGACCAGGAGCGCAAAGTGATTTGCTTTGTTGATGTTGCCAACCTGAACTTCTCAGGCCAACATGCAAATGAAAATATAGCCAACAGCCAACCCAGCAACATTTCTGACCCTGCCAGAGAACTCAATTTGGCAAATCTGGAGGAAAGAGAGGTAATTATCATCAAGGACAATGAGCAGAGCAATCACGTGAACACAGAGGGAGCCGTCTGCCTTTTCAAGCAGGGCTCCTCCGAAGACGTCAACGTGCTCGGCTGGCTCAGCAATGACCTTCAGAAGTACGCCATCGGGTTCCAGCATGCACTGACCCCCATGGGGACCCCTCGCAAAGCCACCATCTTTGACAAGGGCTCCCAGAACAACAACAACACTGCGGCCAGCGCTTCCAGGAGCGACAGAGACGACATGGCCTATTATGCCAACAAGCTCTGCTCCATGGTGATTGAAATGACGCGCAAGGAAATCATGGACAAATGGGAGCGTTCCGGCAAGTGCATCCGCCAGACCATTAGTCCGCACAGTGCCAGCAGCAAGGCTGCCGAGAGGACCGGAGGAAGCGAACCGCCTTCGGAACAGGCAGTCAAGATGGACGACCCATTCGCAGGCGAAGCGACCAGCCAGAATGACTACAAACAGCAAGAGGCTGCCTATTCCGACAAAGTGAGGAAGCAAGACGATGTCAATTTGACCAGCAAGGGGATGATGGTGTATGCCAACCAAGTGGCTTCGGACATGATGCTGTCCTTCCTGAAGACCATGAAGGTCCAAAAGGGCCGGCACCCTGTCCCAGCCTGTATCGTTCTCAAAGAGGTCCTTGTGAGGCACGTCAAGGAAATCGTCTCCGACCTGATCGACTCCTCAATGAAAAACCTGCACAACATCACCGGGGCACTCATGACGGACTCCGACTTTGTCTGTGGGCTGAAGAGGAACGTTTACAATGTGGGCACCCAGAAGACAGCTGAGATTCTGGAAGCCATGGTGAGGCGCTTGTTTAAACTCATCACGGGGGATGACAGGCAGACTCGGGCCCAGAGTCTAGCATTCACTACCTACAAATCCGGAGCTCAGCTGAGCCAAAGGGCACAAGGCATGCAGTTTGCTTCCCTGAAGAGTGAGTCTCATGGCCAGGGGAAGAAGGACAGAGGAGGAGGGCCAGGGAAGTCCCTTCCATCGGGAAGCAAGGCGGGGGACAAGCACTCCGTGGATGTGTACGCCAAGGAGCTTCTCTTGACGGCACTGATGCAGATACAGCAGCACCTGCTAGAAAAAAACAGAGACACGGGTCTCCGTGAGTCCAACACTTCGGCGTTTGGCTGCATCCACCAGGACCCCCATCCTGACCAGGCTGGAGGGAGCCGCGAACACAAGAACGCCTCCAAGTCATCGGAAGGAAGGGCAGAGCACTACCATGCTGACAGCCTCAAAGACAAAGGGGGCCTCTTATTGTCTGTCGTCCAGAAGATCCTCCATGACATTGGTTTAAATTTAGACAACAGCTTTGGTGACAAGAACAGGGGATAGACGCAGCACCCACAGCAGGGAGAAAGACCTTCCTGAAGCAGAGTAACGGAGCCTCAGTTCTGTATGACAATACAAAGCAGATGGACAGGAGCACGTTGTCTAAATGTTATTGACCAAATGTTGGAATCCGTGATGAAGATGATCTCTCTATTCATAATAACAGAAAACACTTGCTCTGGTTTTAGCTAATTAGATACCCTCTTCACAGCCCCATTGCAATCTGCAGTGGAGTGAATTCACACTGGTTGATAAAATGGTAGCTGAGCAAAGTCAACGATTAAAAGCAAACATTAAAAATAAGAAGAGGAGAGGCGCGCTGTTATTCATTGCTTCATCCAAATTTAGCAGTCTGTCAGGTAATGCTAACGTGACCGTTACAGCAGAGGAATGAACAGTGGCGCATAAGACTTCTAGCCGACTGTGTGCGTTGTCTCCTCCCCATCCTCTGGGATCCTGGTAGATTTGTTTTTTAGGGAGCCCTTCCTAGCTTTTCCTTGGGTGGCCACAGCACAGCATCAGAGTGCACTTTATTAAATCTGCCAAAACAACTTTATGAAACTCGAACAGGTTAATGTTGTATTTCACCCGATAGTTTCAAATACCAGGCTAAACATTCCAGAAAGTATTTTTATTTATGTGTTTATTTGCTTGATTGATGTTATATTTTGCCTTTCTACCCAGAAGATGACACTCAGGGCAACTAACAATACAATCCAAATTAAAATGTACCATAGAAATCAGATACATTGGAAACACAACCATAAAAGAAATGAAAAGCACCAATCAATCCCAAATCTCTTCCACAACATACCTGCCTAAATTCTGAATAGAGAGGAGACACGTCCTGCCCACAGATCCCTCCCACGCGCAGCCGCACGGGGCTGCTGTCTCCCGCGGCTGCATCCGAGGACTCACTCGCCCGCCCTGGTCCCATGCGCAGCTCCCGCGTGAGCCTCGGCCATGCAGTCACGTGGGGAGACAGAGCGTGCTTGGACGCCTGAGAGCGGCCGTTCCCAGCCGACTGCCCTCCAGCCCTCTTGCCCTGTAGCTCCCATAATGCGCTGCCAGCACAGCCAGCACGCTGTCCAGCACAGCTGGGGAGCACCAGGTGGGCGGCGGGCACCTTGCACAACAACCGCCGTACTGCAGCGTGCGAAAGGCAGCCGTTCGGATGCACTTGCTGAGCGGAGAAGGTGGCGGGCGTGTGCCTGTGGGTAATGTTGCTAAGAGGCGATGACCCCGGCTCAGAGCGGAGACCCAGCGTATCTCAGCGTTTGCCTTCTTGGCCTGTGCCCGCCCCCAGTCAAATAGGGCCACCTGGCAGAAGGAGGCCTCCTCAGCCGGCCCAGCCTACGGAGTTTCTGGCCTGTTGCTTGCAGTCTTGCACACAGCTAGCGTGCATAAAGCTCAAGGACTAGCAAAGGGATGTAAGCATTAAAACTGTGCAATCTACCAACCCTCTGTGCAATCACAACTGTGGGTATTAACGGTTCTCCATGGTGGACAGGAGCAAAATCCTGTCCCACCTGGAGGAGGAGGAGCCCTTCCTGAGCTTTTTATTAAACGCACCCTAAAACAGATCAGTGTGAAAGAGAGACCTAACACACCCCTGTACAGAGGTTTCCCAACTAGCCCGAGGGCAAGGATCAAGTAATGGAGGAAGGCAGAGGGGTGAGCACAGAGGACAATACAGGTCCCAGTCCCTCACCCCGCCCCTCTTCCAGGGTTCCCTTTCCCCTGCTCATCAGTCTCTGGCAGGTTGGCTGGCTTTTGCGCCTGTTCCCCCATTGCAGAAGGTTCAATTGCCTCTCCCAGGGCTTCGCTCCTGGCAAGAAGAGCTTAAGGGTAAAATCCACGGGTATTTGGGGTATTTTGATTGCTTCTCACCCACCACTGCAATGCAGGCCCCGAGAGCTGCTCTGAAATGGAACTGAGCCCTTAGGCTAGAAGAGGCCACTGGCCCAGTGAGAAACGTGAGATTATGAGATTATGGGGGTGGCTGCTTGCATGCAAGACCAACCCACCTGTTCCAACAGCGATGCTAAAGGCGCCTGGAGCAAGCTCTCCTCTTTTGCTGCACTCCCTGAGCTGTGATCAGCTCAGCAACCCATCCCTGCCTCCCACTGAGCATGACCTCTCAACCCACCAGACTGCTGAGACGTTTAGGGGCTCAACAAGTCAACAGTTCATGCCCGGCCCAAAGCTTTCTGGTTCAAATCAGAGGAACCTCCTTGTCTAAATCCCATTCCACCTTCACAGGCTCCATCTCGTAACTTCCCATCCCCTGGAGTCATTCAGGCCATCAGGGATGGATCGGGGGTTTTCTGCCTGCACCTCAAATGTGTTAGGATGGATTTAAGCAACGTTTATCCTTCAACATGAGCGCTTTCTGGGAAACCTTCCAGTCCTCTGAGGTCTGTGCCCACCACTTTTATTCTCACAACAGCCCTGTAAGATAGGTTAGGTTGTGAAATGTTATCTAGCCAATGGGCACCCAAGTTAGCTGTGTGAGGAAGGCGGGATTCCGACCCAATTCCTTCTCAGCCACTCTAAGTACTGCCGACTCTCCTACTGAAGTGTGATTTCTATGCCACATGGTGTGACAGAGTTGTCCCTGGATATGTCTGCATTTATCTGATCATGGACCAGCCGGTAACCTATCTCATATTCCAAGTACAAAGTGTCACTTAGAAATTAGTACATTTACAAATTCCTGGTACTAGCACAAAGAATTTTTAGATAGAAAAATCTGAGATCAGGCATGTCTTTTATTTTAGTATCTCAACCAGTGTTTATATTTCATGATATAAGAGCATTAGAAATTCAAAAATAGATAGTAGTGTCGATCAAAACACATTTTCAAAGCATTCTAAGAATAAATGAGGAGCACTGCCTTTAAATTAATTTCACCCACGTGGCCTTAGTGAATTTACAGCAAAAAAGAGAAGGGAAGTCAATGAGGACTAGCATCCAGTGAAAACTGATGTTTGATTCTTTGAGGACTAGTGGAATGTTTTGGCTCTTATATGAATCCTTACTAATACTGCTTACATGGTATTTCTTCACATGGGAAGTTTTTAAACAATTCATTATTAGTGGTTTTCAAAGTTCCTAGCTGTGATTCAGAACTGAGATCTTCGTATCTTATGAGCTTTTCTGAGCACATTCCCTTAAGTTCCCCAAACAGAATGTCTCCCCATGACAGCCCTTCAAGCTCCCCCCCGCCCCCAGCACCACATGCTACTCAGAGTGCCAAAGGCAAGGGGTGAGCCAGGATGGGTGTGTGGAGGAATCCCCGAAAATTAGGCAAAGTACCTTCTGCGAGTTGAGGGAGCACCATCAGTAGAAGCAGATGCTGGAACCAACCCAGCCTTTGCACCTGCCGTAATTTGGAGTGGGCCAGGCAGGAAGCATATGAAACTTCCCCTTGAGCTGCTGCTTTCCATACCCTTTGAAACACCATGGCTGCTTTCCCACGGACACAGACAAAACCGCACGGAATACTTCTGGCAGGGCTGCTTGCTGTCACGAGCCCTGTGCTGGGCAGTGCTCTTGCATTTCATTCATGGGACCTTTCTTTCCTTCTGCCTGTGAAGGAGATCCCGCCTGGGGAAGGCATATGGGAAGAGCCAGGGCCCTCCTCCACAAAATCAGGCCCTCAGCTTAGGCGCTGGGCTCATGGAGCTTCTGCCCCCCGCCCAGGCATGAAGCCTTTTGCTGCCAGTCATATAAGTCCAGTCCAGAATGGCTCCAGTCACTCCCAAGGCCAGGAGATTAAAAAAAAAATCACAGGGTCACACTTGTGTTAGCACTGGGCCAACTGCACAGCCTGATTCTAGGATGCCGCAAGGAGGGCTCTCTGAGGCTGAATGGAAGGAGTGAGCCAAGAGCTGGCAACCCAACACTTCCCAGGGGACCTTCTGGGATTTGGATGGATGACCTCAGGAGCAGGAGCACGGGGAGAGAGGGGAGAGGGGAGGGAGGGGAGAGGGAGGGTGAGGAAGCAGCCGCCTCCTGACATGCTGCCCACACCCCAAGGGAGGGACGGAGTTGGAGGCTGGAAGAGGTGGTGCCCCAAGGAAAGGAGCCCCAAGAAGCTCCCCGACCCTGATGGAAATAAAGTGAGCCAGCTCTTTTCTTCTCACGGGGAAATTTAGTAGGTAAGAGAGAAAAAATGCTTTCAAGTGTATTCATCTAGAACGGGCCCTGCGGCTAGAGATTCCAGCAGCGTGAGCTGGGCCTGAGACAGAAGCGTCACACCAAAAAACAAAAGCAAAAGCCCCAGACACGCATACGCACACCAAGAGGTGCACGCACGCACACAGGAGTGTCCAAATGCAAACACAGGGCTTGCCTTGCCGCAGACAGACGCACGCGAAGTGGGCCTCGCGGGATCCGTCCGCAGTTGCGCGAGGCTGGCGTTCTCTGCTGTCAGGGATGTCCTAGCAGGAAAGCGCCCACTGAGCGGCCGGTGAGCACCCCTGCGCACTAATCCCAGTTACAGAGAAGGGTATGGGAGCTCATAAATGTATCAACAGCCATGGGATGGTTTTGAAGGGGCGCAGGAGAGTCCCCTGGTCAGTTCAGGGCACAGCCTCCTATAGAAAGAGAGAAGGAAGCCCTTTGGTTCCTGCTGCTGCTAAACCACTGGGGGTCAGAAGCTTTGGGTGATCTCCTGCAAATCACCCAGAAACTTGCAACCAGGTCCCAACCGACTGACTGCCTGCCCTTGTCTCACTTTCGTGTTCTCTTTAACTCAGTCCAGCAGAGTTTTCAATCCCTGGCCTCTCTCCTCATCTTCCCCACATCAGGCGATAGCGATGGCCGTGGGGTTGCTACAAAGCAAAGCAAAATTCACCCCCCCTGCTCTGTGCCCAAAGAGAGGGCCGTGCTCCACAGATGATTTCCAGCACTGAGCCAAGGGAAGGCATCTCCCAAGAATAGATCCAGAGCAAAAGCAAGCCCAGCTACATGTTGCAGTGGATGACCAACAATGGAAA